GGATAATCAGGGTGGGAGTGTCAGAGATGGTGCAATTGGCACAAGACAGAGCAGAGTTTAGGGCTGTTGTACATAGGGTCGCTATGAGTCGCAAACGACTCGACTGCACATAACAACAAGTACAACAACAATCCAGGCCATGGTTTTCTCAATTCCTTGTTATACATATGAAAATTGAACAATGAATAAGGATTACAGAAAAAAAAATTTTTTTGAGTTGTGGTACTGAAGAAGAGTATTGAACAAACCATCAAATGCCAAGAGAACAAATATGTTTTTCTTAGAGAGGGTGATAGCAGGTTGTTCTTGGAAGCAAGAATTTTAGAACTCTGTCTCACAAACTTTGGGCATGTTGCCACAAAGGACCAGTCTTTGCTGAAGGACATCAAGCTTCAAAAGGCAGAGGGTCAGAGGAAAAGGAGAAAATTCTGTATGGGATGGATTGACATAGTATAGTATGAGCCTAAAAGTTGGCTTTTTTAAGTCATTAGTTAGCTGCCTCTGGTCTCTAGCTACCTTAACTCTAGACACACAGTCTTGCAAATCATCATCAGCTGTGGGACTAGGATAAGTGAATGAGTGCTTCCTCACTCTGAGAAGCAAATTTTGAGGTGAGAAAAAACTTGAGGTAATATTTGAGGTGAACAAGGTTTGTGGTGGTAAGACCCTGGTGAGAATGATACCCTGGTGGTACAGAGACTGTGGCATTTCTGTGGGCAAAAGGTGGCAAAGCATGCCCTGAGGCATCTTGTATTTGTGCTGGCCACAGTTGGATTTTACCTGTATTTACCTTTAATGGAAGGAAAAGTCACTTGCTGGATTGAAGACAGAATCTGTGCTTTTGACCTGTTGGGTTATATCCTGGACTTATTTTGGGTGATATTATAATAATTTCTGCCTCCCCTACTCTCTAACTTTCTTCCCTAAGAAACCCCATTATCAGTTCTATAACTGTGAGTCAGAAACAAATAAAAGAACCCCTTGCTGTTGGTGGGACAATAAAGGCATCATGGGACTGGGCTTTGAACTCTTTATCTGATTTCTGCAATGGAGAAGTGAGGGTATGTGCTTTTCTTCTTCCCTCTGGGTCTTTCAGAGAGATGTTCATGGTCCTGTGCCTTTATGACCCATTTCCCCCCTTTTTAGACACAAAGTGATTGGCAATGAGGTCAGATGTGTCAGAGATAATGGAATTAGCTAAGGATATGACAGGGTTCATAGCTATTGTTTATAGAGTCTCCATGAGTCATCACCTCAATGGTACATAATAACAACTCAAATTGCATTAATAATTGAATCAGTTGATTAGAAAATTAAAGTTTTCTTAAATCTAGGTAGGTAGTAAGGTATTTTAATAAAGATTACAATCATTTGGTCAGGTCTAGTTTCATCACAGAATCAAAACGAAAGCTATATTTTAGTTCCACTTAGTGTTTGTTGAGTGAAGTCATATTTCTGTTTTATTTTTAAATTTTTAAATGCTTCTTTCTTGTATTTTCCTTTTGAATATGCTGGGAGGAGAAGTTTAATTCCCATGTAGGTTGTAATAAAAATAGAGAAAGATTTATAACTTTGAGAGGAGATGAAAATGCCCATATTTACTTTGTTTATTTACAGCTTTGGAGTAATCTTCTAGCTATTTTCTACATATTATATCACTCATAGCAGTATTCATCACATTCCCCCCCCCCACACACACACACACTGCATTGCAAAGATATTATTTTGTTGGGAGTACTGATTTGTACAAAGCATCAAAGAATGTTTTTTGTTTTCCTCCTACTTCAGCTTTTGGGAAAATCTTGAGTTATTGTGACCAGTTTTGACAACAAAACTCACTGGAGGTTTCCTCATGTAACAAATAATATTACAAGAAAAAAACACAAAATCATAATATTATACTCCATCATTTCACAGGGACTAGTTTAAACAGTCATGATTTAATGGACAGATATGTAGGGAGGATTTAAAGACACACAATAGTACAAAAAGGCCACAGGGGACTATGTGCTCTTTGTTACAGATGGTAGGAGATTATGATATGAAATATTTATGGGGTGTTAGGGAGAGGGAGTGGTTATTTATTTTGAAGATGTTTTGCTTGTAATATAAGCTCTTGACAGGCTTCCAGTCCCAAAGGGAGTCAATTTTCATAGAGATGATAATGACTCATCATCAAGATTATGGTAAATAAAAAATATGAAAGTAGACATATTATGAATACTTGTTTACCACTGGCTACATTAAACTCAAAACACCCTTAAGTATTGCAAATTGAGCCTTGAATTTGTTCTTCAGATCCTTGAGCTTAAGAAATGCTGAGCAAATTCAACCCCTTTGATTTTCTTACTCCAGTTCTTTGCACATTTCATTTTAATACTTTACTTTGTTTTCCTGTTCTGCCCTTTGAAATCATCTTTTCAGTTCCTTAATATCTTGATTTCTTCCCTTTGCTTTGTCTTCTCAGCACTCTAGTGCAGTATTCCTAGTCCCTTGTTAGATGAATCTTAGCTCAAAGCAGGGAATAACAGAAGCATGTCTATCTGTGTTTCATTGACTATGCAAAAGCTCTTGACTATGTAGACCACAACAAATTTTAGCTAACTCTGAAAACAATGGGAATCCCAAACACTTGATTATGCTTGTGCAAAACGTATACTTGGACAAGGAAGCAGTCATCAGAACAGAGCACGGACACACTGCATGGTTCAAAATTGGGAAAGGTGTACACTAGGAATGTGTTCTATTTCCATACCTTTGTAAACTATATGCAGAACAGATTATCTGGGAGACTGGGCTTTATGAGGAGAAATTTGGAATCAGTATTGGAGGAAGACTCATAAACAATCTGTGTTATACAAATGACACAACCCTCTTGGCTGAAACTGAAGAAGACCTGAAGCACTTGCTGTGGAAGGTCAAGAGCTGC